TATAGAAATCGAAGGAGAACCAGAATTCGAAGTTGAAGAAATACTAGATTCGAAGGTCGTAAGGGGAAGGGTCCAATACCTCGTCAAATGGAAAGGCTATGACCATTCCGACAACACATGGGAACCCCGAACAAATCTTACCAACGCCGATGAGCTTCTTCAAGAATTCCACCAGCAACACCCAGATGCAGCCAAAGCACCAATCAGGGTCATCACTTTTGGTGGAAAACGCTTCGAATTATCCTCATATGAAGTTGCACCGATCTTCACACACAGAATCAATATGTCCGACCATCCGAACGAGTTCTTCCTATATCATAAAATGACAGATCTCACCAAATCACCGAAGAAATCCTCAAATGAAGCAGCAGGATGGGATATTTATGCAGCAGAAAGGCATGAAATCCCTCCGCAGACATGAGCTGTGGTAGAAACGGGAGTTGAAATCAGCCCCCCCAAACATACCTATACATGAATAGCTCCACGCAGCAGACTGGCTGCATGAGGAATTGACGTGGGCGCAGGAGTCGTTGATCCAGACTACACGGGAGAACTCAAGGTCGTACTGATCAACACAACAGATTTCGTATTTTCGGTAAAGCTGGGAGACAGGATAGCCCAAATAATGTTCGAATATTATGCAGAAGGGCTTTCCTCCAGAAGCTATCAACCGTTGTGTGCAACTAGAAGGGAAAATAAAGGTTTTGGCTCCTCAGGACAATGAGCCTTGAGAAGGGGGTAGTGTCACAGAGTTTCACCACAAAGTCCACACGTGACTTCTCTCACACCACAGATCACGTGCTTCACCAATATCTCATGCCACTCAGCCACAGACACGATGCGTAAAGATCAGGTGATAGTCCACATCACATGTTATGGTCCAGACTGTCACGAAGACCCAATATTAGGTGAAGTCCGAAAGGTCTTACTTGCTTATGTTGGATGAAGCGAAGTGACGGAGATCGCAGACTATAAGAGGTGTACTGGACTTGTAGGGGAAGTCGCAGTAACAGTCAAGTGTATCAAGTATTGACGAAGGTAGATAAGTCTGGGGGTGTAAACCCAGACGAGCTCAGTATATATACAAGCAGGGTCAGACCCCTGATACACTGTCTACCGGGACCATGGGCACACCTACAGTGGGTCCATGTGAACGGTGACTCAGCACACATTCTAAAAATAGGTGAAGCTCAGTGTTACCTGCGAGCTATCTTGAGATAAGCCAATAGCATTAATCTACGAAGTCATACGAGGCTATTATGAGACCTTGCCATGCGGCTACAGAGTCAGCTGGCGATGCCTGCTGATCATAACTACTCTAATTATAGGACCACCTTCCCAGGTAGTGGAGCTCCGTGTCTCACGGTGTTGTAGGAGCTTATTCTATTGGTGGATAAGCGACCAGATCTTGTATCTTCGGATATGGCGCCTTATCTTTTAGGCAAAATAGTAAGTACCTTATCTATGACGTATGAGGTTTGGGCCTTTAGCACGTGATATGTGCACTTCAAGATATACACGTGAGTGAGCATGTGAGTAGTCACGTGATCATGAAGCGAGCAATAAATGAATGTGGAATATTACAGTTTGTGACACAGACCTGCGGATGATATGGTCGGACCTGTCTATTCCAGGATACAATAGAGGCACCCATTTGGGAACAAAGGGAACAAGGACTATTATTATGCATCAGCCTTCCGCTTCCTATTAGTTTAGCCAAAAGCCTAGATAGGCACGATATTCACACCGGAGAACAAAAGGGTAACCAATATAGGCACGATGTGCACACGCAGTACTGCGGCAACCATCGATCTTCCCACTTATTGTTCTACTTCCGAACATCCTATTGTTTCATGTACGGCCATTAGCTTATACCCGTAGATAGGTAGCTTAGGTAAGATAGCCCACTGTACATGTATATAGGACCAGCCATGTAGAGGACGAAACTTCAGATTGTTTCTCCTCGTCTACCATCTGTAGCACCCACTGAGCTTACCAGCTCCTTGATATATCTCTCACCCTTTCCTGCACCAGCCACATCGACTAGTAAGTCTCAGGCTCTTGCACCACATAGAGTTCAGGGGGATTCATTGAGATCAGGGGGATCAGGGCAGCACGTTCCACGTGACTGCCCCTTTTTAGTCTTTTTGATCTCTTGTTGTCACAGTATTAAGTGGCACCTTTCTTTTTTGCACCATTAAAGTCCTCATTTGAGTGGTTATTCGGACGCCAACCTTCATATTGGTCTCGCAACGTGGATACTTAGACAAACAGCACAATGCCACCACATACATCACGGACATGACTGTGTTTACCACATGACCACCAAGCGCCCATGATTCAGCCACCCAGTCACGTGACACTGGCCACTTGCCCTATTTGGAAGATGTCAGAAGTTGGTCACGTGACACCAGATCACTTGCCCAGAAAGGAACTCATTGGACCATCAAGCTAGCAAGCACCCAATTCGCCACTCAAGATAGTGGCACCACTTTGCTGCCTAAACCAATAGGCAGATACCACAACAGAGGATCCCCCTACCAACCGGCATACAGTATAGCCAGGTACAGGATAGGCTAGATCTTCTCACAACCCTATCCAGATGAAGACTGATCGTCACACTCATTGTTCTGAGTTTGGACAGATCCTCTCATCTGATGTTGCAACCGTTGTGATATGCTCTGTTGGCCATCACCCATTGGCCCCTGAACAGTGGGCCCACTTACAGGCATTTATCTCATTGGATTAGATAGGATTACCTCGGCGTATCCACGGCCATTATAGATAGTTGCTATGACGAAGTCCAGAACCATTACCAGTTCTGGCAATATGTTCACATGTAGACAGGACAGGACCCCAGTAGGTACACCATAGTTAGGGTGCCCAGGGTCCACCCCTACATGTATATAAGCCCATGAGGATCTAAGGGAAAACCTTAGATTCATTATCCTATTGCATGCGGCCTAAAAAGCCAATTCACCCCCTAGTTGTGAGCATAAGGCTAAGGGCCCTTTGAGCCCCTTTTCCAGACTGCATACCACTGCACACATCCTCAGCCTAGCCCTTGTGGCAGGCTTTTTATGTGAGATCATTTGTGCAGGTCACAAAAGCAGACTTGCCCTTAATTGGGTTAAGTGCTTTGGTGCTTTGTGACACTTGTCCAGTGGTACCGTGACACCTTGCCACAACGATTCTAAAAGAAAGTCATCGCATTGCTGTCGGCACAACAGATGGCCACGCTGTTGCTTTGTGTGAGCTGAAGCAATGAGGACACCAAATGTATCACAGATGTGAGCAAAGAATGTGAACTCACTGATAAGTGTCCATGACTTTGCATGCCATGGAGAACTTTCGCTTTGAGCGAAACCGTCAGACATAGCTATCTCAGCAGTCAACACCATTGAGACATGGACGCGTCAATCTTAGTGGGAGATCCATCGAACAGTCCTAGCGGTCAACACCGCCAGGCTGTATGTGAATTGAAATCGAACTTCTTTGCGTGCAACGTAACATTTCATTTTTGTCTATGCATACGAGTAATAATCTCTCCAGCATCATGGTTACGATTATCGACAATCCCATGCCCGTGATAGCTACGAAGATTGGCCACGCCTTGGCCATCTTTGAGTTGAATGGTGGGATGATCGCGCGCTCTACGACCAGTCAGCATCCCACTGAGCAACCGATGATCAGCTTTTGAGCGACCGCAAAATCAGCCGATGAGCAGGAAATCGAACAACATTTGAGCTTTAGTTCCAGCAAACATGAGAGCGAACATTACTGCAGTTCCCATAGTTTTTCTCTCGGTGGACAGTTCGAACCTTAACCCAAGACAACAATTAAGATTTTATCATTGATTTTACCGAGGATACCATTTCTATCCTAAGTCAGTTTGCCTTTTCTGATATTGTTTCTGCTGCCAACCTGGCTGAGCTGTTGAATTATCAGCCAAATTAGAAGAGTTAATAAGATAAGAACTGTGCTATCAAGTCCTATCTAGGAAAACAGCTGAGATGTCCTCCAAGAGATATTATCGTAGAACATTTCATATGTTTATTCAAATTCTGTCACTACTTTTATCCCGGATCAAATGACAAAACTCCCGACATGGGAGGAGCCTGACCATATACTAGATATCGATCGATTATCATCGATATCTGTTTTTGGTCTGCTACGGAGACTAATCGTAGATCACTACCTTTGACGACTTGTACTTTGGCAGATGCAATCTTGCCATGATACCTCCAGCAACTGCCATGGATCACATTTATCACGTCTGCTGACCTGCTATCAGCTGTGCTCATGACGCATTTACCACAATGATATCCTGTCCTGAACAGCTGCTCTATTCCAGGACACCCTATCACCTCGGCCCTGCACGCTTATCTCCAATTTGCTCGTCACCCTGCACGTTGCAGAGCTGGATACAGATCGTGCGCTATATTTCGGCCTTCGATATCCGGGTGAGAGTGTGTGGCGGTCAGTCGCTACGCATTGGCTCCGCTCACATCCGTCGCGGGACCGAGGCGAGAAGATCAGAACGTGACGTGCACTAGTATACTACTACTATGCTTCAGTTCAAGGCAAGCGCGCTTTTGGTCCCAGCGCTCTGTACTGTGCATCGCAGCACTGAGACACTCGGACGTGCACGATCAATCATCGATCCTCATGCAGCGCAAGTCTAAATCTACATGCGCAGTGCACAGTGGCCCCTGCATGCACAGTTAGGTTAGGTAATGATGCTGCGGGGACACTCGTACGGGCATCCAGTACTCCAGCTTGCACCCAAGGCACAGTGTTGCAGATGCCACCAGAGTCGGCTCCCGCGCCCCCTTGACTCATACATGTTTTATTGGTACTGCGCATGCGCAATCGAGTCAGATCAGATACCAGACCCTGGTCGCACCGCCTCTGAATTTTCGGCAGTATTAGTGCGGCTTGGTCATGACGATATATAATGTGAATCGACAATATTTTGCCACTCCCAGTACATTGTATCCGACCCATATTCAATTGAAAGGATAGCCTCTTAAACAATTGACAGCTCACAAGATGTCTACATGCCCGTCTACTCCGTCATCCTCCGCGATTTCACTGGCACCCTCCGAGGCGACCACGGCTTCGACAAACTCGACAGCTACCTTGCTGCCGCACAAAGTAAGTGACGGTCCAGTCACAGAAGAGCTACGGCTGATTGCTGTGCCATCAGCAGAGTAATGGCGCGAGCAGCTCTATTCCTTCAAAATCCACGTCAACACCAAAGATATTTGAGGATGGCTTGGTATCCTTGACAGCTTCATATGGATTCGGCGGCATGGCGCCTATGCAGCCGCCAAAGAAAGAGACGAAGAAGAAGGCTGACACCGCACCCGCGGCGGGGAGCTCATCTGACACCCGGTCTTCATCTTCCAGTTACAAGTTCAAGTCGTGGTTCACATCAAAATAAAGTGCTTGCCACAGATTCTTTTAGTCATTGGTGCGTATTACGCACCTTGAACTGATACATTGATTAAGTTTGACGCACATTCAGGTTGTATCCTTTATTTATATGAGCCGCTTGCCGATACAAGACCCGAGATCTCCCAGTGATGCTGAGGCGTTCGCAATTGAAGTTGCCCAGTTTACGTTCGCAAATCAATAATCTTCCATTCATACGACACGTTCCAGATATTTATTAATATCAATCGTCATGCACATATTGATTGTGTAATATACTACATACGTATTTTTATGCTGAATGTTGACACTGGCCATATACGCATCGGACAGAAACTGAGCGCCTGATTTAAGGTTCGGAGATGCTCACATGACCTGATTGGCAGGAGCGCCTCTGTTTTGCGTTCACAGCTCTTGCCGTTACTCTCCGCAACTACGTTTGCCTGTCTCTCTTTGGTGATCCGAACCATTTGACTGTCTATCTGGCTTATTTCCGGCAAGAGGGTATCTTAAATCGTTTGGGCCATAAAGTGGCTAGAGTTAGGACAGCATGACAATCTCAGCAGGCACGAAACGAGCCATTCTTGATAGTGAGCAGAAGTCCGACTTCCGACTTTTATATTTTCTGATGCATGCTCACGCAGTCACACTGTTCCTGGTGTCTCAAGTGCGTATATGCCTTTCTGCGTCTTCTGGCATTGTTGAACATGAGATGCAAGGCAGCCTTATATTACACGGTGCGGGTACGTCTTGCTTGACTGCACTATGGGCCTCGCGGCAACCAGTGTTAACGATCGTTCTGTAGTGGCTAATGGATGGCATGATTCCGGGAGAAAAGAAGGAGGTTAAGCCTAAGAGCTTGAAAGCGTTGGAGAAGCTCGGACATAGGGATCTGAAGCTGGACGAGTACGAAAGTGCGCGCTCCTGAAGTGTCTCACATAGCATTTCCAGAAAGCTGACATGCCTTCCCTTTTTTCAGAGCAGATTGCATCTGAAGTCATACACCCAGATGACATCGATGTTTCCTTCAAAGGTGCGTAACAATACTGTACAAGCGCCGCGTTGATTGTAACGCGGACACAGACGTCGGTGGCCTGGAGCCCATAATCTCTTCCCTCCGCGAGTCCGTCATCTACCCGCTCGTGTACCCGCACCTCTTCAACTCCTCCTCATTACTCGGGGCGCCCAAGGGCGTGCTGCTCTTCGGCCCGCCGGGATGCGGAAAGACGATGCTCGCGAAGGCGCTCGCCAAGGAGTCGGGCGCGACGTTCATCAACATCGCGGCATCGGTGCTGACGAATAAGTGGTACGGCGAGTCGAACAAACTCGTTGCGGCGCTGTTTTCGCTCGCGCGCAAGGTGCAGCCGAGCATCGTGTTTATTGATGAGATTGACTCGTTCTTGAGAGAGAGGACGAAGGGTGATCATGAGGTGACGGGGATGATGAAGGCAGAGTTCATGACGTGCGTGATCTCCTTCCCATCTCATTTCGCATATTCTGAATGACGTGTCTGTCTGTCTGTTGACGCCAGTTTGTGGGATGGCCTGTTGTCCAGTACAAACCGCATATTGGTCCTCGGGGCAACTAACCGACCAAATGATATCGACTCCGCAATCCTTCGTCGTATGCCGAAGCGATTTTCTGTCGGTCTTCCTGACATCGAGCAACGACAGAAAATCCTCACCCTGGTACTTGGCTGATGATTCTCGCGCGACTTCTTTATCTAACCCCACGTCCTATCTGTGACAGATGCTGAAAGACACAGAATTAGACGACTCGTTGTCCATTCACAAGCTTGCCGAAGAGACGGAAGGGCTTTCAGGATCCGACTTGAAGGAGCTGTGTCGAAGCGCCGCAATGCTGCCGATGCGCGAGTTTATCCGCGAGGCGGGAGGTGATCATGATATGCTTTCGCGCAGTCAAGAAGAGGTGCGCCACGGTGTTGTTTCTCTTTATGTATGCGAGATTGACAAGCATGCGGACTAGGACTTCAAGCTACGACCGCTTACGCTCGATGATTTCTTCCAGTCTGACGGCACGAACGGGCTGCCACCGAGTAACCCTCTCGATGATATTTCCTAGTCTATGGAGGATCATGTGTTATAGAACGTGGTATGTCCCTGATTGTATACTATAATGCATTGCAGTTTAGACAAATCGATCGATGCATGTGTAACCACCACTCTGTTTTGTTGTTGTCTTGAGAGCCAATCATTGTAGAGACTTTGCGTCAACGTCTTCCGAAGCATCTCAAATGCATCGATACACGGCAGACATGACGCGATTTATAAATATGGAAAATCGTGTGGGAATGTCGGCTGATGTCTTACATTTGTGGCAAAGCTTTGCCAATTCAGCATTTAAACGGCAAATAGTGCACATTCACAGCCAAAGTGAAACATTTTCAACATGAAATGCCATGGTTGCAAATGTTTGTCGCATGTGTAAGAAATCAGTCGACATTCACACACAATTTCCCACATTGATAAATCGCATCATGTCTGCCGTGATAGTAAGTTTTGGACGGCTCACGGTATACATAATTCCTCTTTCTGTAATTTTGTCGTGAGCTTTTTCGCTTAATTTGACAGCACGCCTGCTCATTTTGGTGAATTTCTTTTTACAAGCTATCCATTCAAATTTCGTCCCCGCGGCGCCTTCGCCCAGAAAGCTATATTATGCCAGCACTGCATCTCTAACGACTCAATCTCTCTTACCATTCTTCGAACGATGCCGGACGCCTCTCCTCGTAATTCTGTGGCATCCATTCACCTGATATATGGCGCAATGGGGTTCCTGCTCGAAATAGACTGCGCATCAACACGTTTTCAATGTCATCTCAAAAAGCTGAATATATGCTTCCTGAACGGTGTGGATGAGTTGCCGCCTTAAACTGCACTCGACTTTCCAGCCACCCCACTATTATAATCGGCTCTAAATGGTGTGCGCTTGCTTCCATGGTTGGCAGTTTATGTGCCTTGACACCTATTTAGGAGCATTGTACATCTACTCGCTCCTTGCGATGTCAACCGTGCATGCTTTCCGTTCTACTTTTACTCGACGCGTGCCCGAGCGCTTGTGCGACGCTCGCAGGCGCTGGTCATCCTCACGGTCAGGGTCGTCAGACATCTCTCGTGATCAATATCAGCGTCAGTCGGACTCAGTCCCTTTTGCTTTACACTCGGCGACACTACACCTTGTCCTCTTTCACTATTACTGCTGTCTTTAGGCCAGCAGCTGGGAATCCTCCGTGGACTGCGGAGTTCTGTAACACCGCATCAGGTTCTCGTCGGGAAATGCATTCCTCGTGCTGCACCAACATGCTTCCAGGTCAGGAGACCTCTCTAATGCCGGCAATATTGTTCCTAGTGACGTGCACGGCCGCTTGCTTCTCAGCCGAGACGTCGTCAGCCCTGTCTCAGGGACTTCGACAGAATGGCGCTTCGGCTGACGTTCCACTTCGTATATAAGCCCTGAGACGAGGGGGCGCTGGCGACGTACGGCCACTGAGAAGAAAGCGAAGTCAAAGATGTGGGCGCAAGCGGCGAGTGTGCTCCTCCTTGTCCACGCCGTGGGTGCCGTGCCATGGCCGGTGCCCAGTGGTACGTCGACGTCGACCGACACAACTGGTAGCTCGACGACTATTGCAACTGCCACGGCGAGCGCGTCGGCATGGGCTTCGCCTGTCCCATCCGAGGAGCCGCTGCCTCCAGTGCAGGCATGGTGTCCCAGCCAGATCTTCTGCGCTGGTGATGTACGTCTCCATTCGCGCAGTCCATGGCCTCGTTTCTGATCATGGTCCTGTAGCTGCTGCAAACTGTCAACCTCGCGGACGTCTATAGTGACCCAAAAACCATCGTCGACAAGCCGACTTCGATGCGATCGCAGCAGGTTCTCGCTAACTTCGCTGCGTTCGGGAACGTCGGCAGCATTACTGAGGGAGATATTGTCGAGTTCGAAGATGATGACTTCAAGGGCGAGGGGCTCGAGCTGATGGCCGTCACACTGACCGAATACAACGATAACCCGGCGTTTCTGCAGAACGTGAGCGACACGCTACTACGTGCGTTTGCGCAGACGGTCAGCGGGTATTGGACGGACCTCGTGAGGCAGACGAACAAGTCGGCGACCTGTCCGGCTGGCACGGAGGACGGACCTTGTGAGGGCACGTTCATTCCTCTGAACCATACGTTTGTCATTCCTGGTGGACGATTCCGCGAGCAGTGTGAGTCGTTGCGCCCTATCTGTGTATTCATCGTAAGGGTTCTGACCTTCGTATTGTGCGGTAGATTACTGGGACTCGTATTGGATCCTCCAAGGCCTTATGAAGTCAGAGCTGTACGACATCGCCAACTCAACGCTGCAGAACTTCATGGACGAGCTTGAAAAGTTTGGCTTCATTCCGAATGGTGGCCGCATCTATTGTAAGAGCTTTCACAGGGCGATGTTGAGTCCGATATTGACTTGTGACTGTCAGATCTGAACCGCTCGCAGCCTCCGCTCTTCACTCGCGTGAGTCATGTGCAAAGACGTTTACCGATATGTTCTCTTAGCTCGGAACGCAGATGGTGGCAGACTATGTGGCTACGACGAATGATACCGCGATCCTTGATCGTGCTCTCCCTCTGATTGAGGTGTGTGTTCAAATACACCAGATGAGACAAAGCTTACCCTTTCGTCGGCAGGTTGAGATGCAATGGTGGATGAACAACCGGTCTGTCAGCGTGACGAGTCCATACACGAACAAGACATATACCATGTTCCGATATGCTGTGAACAACTCTGCTCCTCGGCCGGAGTCTTACAGCGATGGTATGAAAAGACACAGCATTGTCCTTGTTGAGTTCTAATCAATATGCTATGACGTTATTGGCCTTAAGACTACTCGACCGCCTTTGACCCGACGTTGCCTCCCCTCGATGAAGATCAGCGCTCTGAGCTGTACGCTGAACTTGCAAGTGCTGCGGAGACAGGATGGGACTTCTCGTCGCGATTCGCCAGTGACCCGTATGCAGGTGGCACGAATAACACGAACCCGACCATGCGCACCATAAACGTGCGGAACAACGTGCCCGTCGACCTGAACAGCATTCTTTGTGCGTGCATGCTCGATATTTCTTCCATTCACATGTGTTGATGCTTTGGTATCACAGACAAGGGATATTCAATTCTAGTGGACTTCTACACCAAGCGCGGGAACACCTCGGCTGCATACACATATAGCAAGACCGCTATCTCGCTCCGTGAAGGCATCCTCGACCTCTTCTGGGACCCGTCAAAGCTGGCATTCTACGACTTCAACCTCACATCTGGTACACGGAACAGCATTTACACCATGGCGACGTTCTACCCGCTGTGGAATGGCGTCGTGCCAGATGAGTTGCTCGAGTCGAGCGAGAATGCGTTCGGGTTCTTCGCGGGTGTGAACATGGTGATGAACCGGTACAACGGTTCGGTACCTGTAACGTTCCTTGAAACCGGTCTGCAGTGGGACGCCCCCGACGCGTGGCCACCGCATCAGTACATCATCCTCCAAGCGCTGCGCGCGCTTCCGGACAATGTCACCTCGTCGAGCCTGCCGCAGCCAGCGACGAACGAGTCGACGTATTCCCTTATACCGCAGGGCCAGCTAAACATCGCGGAGGATGACCTGCCGGGACAGTTCGTGATCAGTTTGAGCGGGAACGCGACGAAGACGGGCCCAGGCGCAGATGTGAGTAGGCTGGATGGGACGGTGGTTAATGGGGGGAATGCCACGAAGGGCGAGGGTTGGGGGGGTGTGCTCCAGAGGGAAGTGGCGAACAGATATATGACGAGCGCGCTGTGTAGCTGGTGAGTGCCGTTGGTATGACGAACTCATTCGAGCAGCGGTTTACTGATGTCGATATCACAGGCATGCGACTGGTGGAGAGCTGCCCGGGATTTTGCCCAGACTGTCTGATTCAGAGCTGAACGTGACGCAGAGCATCAACAACACTGGAAATGTGGGCTTCTCGTACATCCGGCGATCCATGCTGCTGACTGAATGCTCCTCAGATGTTCGAGAAGTTCAACACTACCGATGTCGACTCTTCTGGCAGTGGCGGACAGTACACTGTTCAAGTACGTGCCCACATTGAGATCTGTCTAGTTCCACATCTCACATCCTCGTTCTCTATAGGTCGGTTTTGGGTGGACGAACGGTATTGTGCTCTGGATTGCCAGCAACTACGGAGACGTGCTTGCCACGCCAGACTGCCCGGATCTTCTCGCTATCGCTAATGCAACTTCTAACGAAACCAGTGGCTCGTCTGAAGCTTCATCTAGCACTGCTCCGAGTAGCACGGTTGCTGCGTTGAGCAGCGCATTGACAGGCAGTGGCACCGTCACGTCGAGTGCTTCTGTGACCGCGGTGTCGAACGTTGCGAACGCGGCAGCAATAACGGAGGCACTGTGGATGCCATCCGGCGCGGTTGTTGCGGCTCTGATCACCGCATTGTTGGCGTGAGTTTGGATCAGCGGTGAAAGAAAAGGGTCTCTTTGGTTGGGGTGAAGGTACGATGGAACGATTCTTGAACTTTGAGTGCACGGACTTTGTGTCATGATCTGCGAAGCGCGTTTTGTATAACCTGCGATGGGATGTGCACATTTGCGCGATGAATGACGATCTGTAATATGAAGAGAGATTTGCTTGTTCACCGCCGACTCAGCTGGTTGGCCGGCCATGGTAGATGAGCGTTGATAGTGAATGCATGGAAGGTGAGTGTTTTGACTCTCTTCGTTTCGGTCCGTGTGCTGAAAGTGAGCGAGCCTATCGCGAACGTCTCCCATTGCATCTTGGTCTTGTCTACACAGGTATGCTTATCCCCAGTCTATCCTAGCGCACAATCTGAGAAACGCACGATGAGGTCGCGTACGAGACACACAACCCACGGAAGCAATCACGATATTGCAGTGCATATGGACGCTTTGATATGCGGAAGACATCAAGATAGAATGACTGCTTCGGCCACTGCTTTCTAAACGAGTCTTCTCGATGGTTCTGACCATCTCGGAGGCGAAGCCGAACCCCCATAGGTTCTTCCCTTTGTTCATGAATTCAACGGCACCCTCCGCGAACTCTGTCGTAAGCCGCCCATTTCCCCTCCCAGGGACCGGCGATTTGGAAACCCCACGAATTCACGTACCGTGTTAGATATGCAACAACTATTTGCAAAGCGCATGATGACTTCTAGCTCGTCTGATTGTTGAATTATAGAACAGCAGATGTCCATGATCCGTTTCAGGTCAGGTTCAGGGCGCAAACCAACGTTGCCGTTTAGGAGATTACAACTCTCTGTGGGTGAGTTCATCGCTTTCCAGTCACAGGCTGTGCCTACGAACGCAACCACAGAAGATGAGGACAGATATATTTGCCTCGTGAGCTTACTCGTGTCCTAGGAACAATGCATCATGAAATCCAGGTGCTATGCCAATGTCAGCGTCGGCGTGTATAGAACCAAAACAGCCTCATGGGCAAAAGAAGCACATGCTGTGAGGGCAGCGCCATCGATATTCCATGAATAGCTACGACGATAGATCATCAAGGGCGTCAGAATCTGGATGTCACCGCCTCGCACTGCAACGTTGCGAGGTAGTACAGGTACATACGCCCGAAATATCTCGTTCGTCAACCGGCATCCGAGTGCCGAGTGTGTATAAAGCCTGATATCCAGGCGGAATGACACTCTCAGTACGCCAGATACCACTCCCGTCTTCGAACTACCCAGCTAAACATCGTCCTCTTTACTCTATAACACCATCATGTTCCAAGACGTTGAAACCCATGTTGACGACGGCTTCGACCGCGTAGGTGCGTAGCGTCGACATCGTCCTTGCATCGCGGATTACTGGACTAAATGTCCATCTACCTGCAGAGGCAGCTGGTGATGCCCTGCTGGGCGACCCCGTCCAGGAGACGACGTACTCGAGCGAGACGGTCGACAATAACCAATATGTCAGCGAGGACACTCCGTACGGCCAGCAGGTTGTCGACGACAGCTCGCAGGCAACATACAACACGGAGACGGTATCTGAATACTGAAGGACGCTTGGATATGCTGCGACGCTGTAATCCGAGGTGTATTTTGGACGTCGCTGGAAGGGGGAAGGAAGTAAAGTCTGTAAAGCGCCATTGTACTACTGAGCATGAAGGGGAAATTGATACGCGATGTTGAACGCCTTGTATTCAATGAGAGTGTCTCGCTTTGACGGCCGTGTTTGTGCTTCGAATTCCGATGTCGGTGCGAAGAAGCATTTCTCCACTTACTGATGCTTGGGCGCCTACTTAGGCCGAAGTAATTTGTACCATCCTGATCGCATTTGTTGAGACGGTGATACGAAGACAAGAAGACCTTCTATACGACAACTAATGGGGTACATCTAGATAATGTGCACGGAAATCCTTCAATACAGTCTAGTCCTCGAGACCTTCCTCCTCCTCCGCGATCAGCCGCTCCGCTTCGAGCGCGGCCATGCATCCACTGCCCGCGCTCGTGATCGCCTGGCGGTATCTCTTGTCCTGCACGTCACCTGCGGCGAACACGCCCTTGACGCTCGTCTGCGTCGTGCCGGGGACGGTGATGATATAGCCGTCGGGGTCGGCCTGCAATTGGCCGCGCACGAGGCCCGTCGCGGGTTCGTGACCGATAGCGTAGAACAGACCGTTGACCGGAAGGTCCTTCTCCTCACCAGTAAGGACATTCTTGATGCGTAGGTTGTTGAGCAGGTCGCCATCACCCTGGCACTCGACCGCGACGGTGTTCCAGAGAATAGTGACCTTCGGGTTGCTCAGCAATCGTTTCGCCATGATCTTGGACGCGCGGAGCTCTGCTCTACGGACAAGCACGTAGACATGCGAGCCATACTTCGTCAAATCTGATAGGATCACAACATGTTAGTCACTATAACAAAGGGGACATGTGACTTGCGGAATGCTTACAGGTGGCCTCCTCTGCCGCGGAATCTCCACCACCAATCACCGCAAGAGGTTTGTTCCTAGCGGAAAACATTATCGATCAGAGAATGAACCACATCACGCGATAGGCTGACATACCTGAAGATTGGAACCGCACCGTCACACACCGCGCACGCGCTGATGCCGCTCTGCCAGTACGTCTCCTCACCCTTGAGACCGAGACGTTTTGCGCTGGCGCCAGTCGCGATGATGATCGCGTCGGCGGTTTCAGGGTCCTGATCTTCCTGGAATTCGCGCCAGTACCGGAATGGCCGTGCGGACAGATCGACCTTCGAGACGGTCTCGGTGATAATTCTTGTGCCGAATCGCAACGATTGCGCACGGAACTTGTCCATGAGCTCAGGCCCGAGAATACCGGATGGGAAACCCGGAAAGTTCTCGACTGTGGACGGAGATCAGCATAAATTCGTGTAGACGCATCTCTATGCATCGAAGTATCCGGAGCAAGTACGAGCTTCTGCTAGATATGGATGACCTCATAGAGCGAGCATCGTCTCATATATCGCGTAGAGACCACAGAGTCCTCTGTTTATGAGGCGAACATGTATCACGCAAATGATTGAGCCTATAATGCCTCATACGAGAACCGCTCGGCAGATGCCGAAGCCATACATGGCTGTGATGGGAGGCGTTCTGCCGTCCACAATGTCGAGACAGAGACCCCGGTGCTCCAGAAGGGAGAATTATGGGCCGCGCAAGAAGCATGTTAGATAGAAATACACGTACTGTCGGTTGTTGTGGTGAGCTGACCACCTGCGGCGAAGCCATTCGCCATGAAACCTTCAAAGAGTACAGGGTTGAGATTTGCGCGTGCTAGATAGATAGCGGCGGTGTGTCCGGCTGGCCCAGAGCCGATGATAACCTATCCCATACACACAACTCGGTAAACACTCGCTTTGAACCCAGAGAATGCCAAAACGTACCACTTTTGAGTGCAACTTGGAGCTCTTCTCAGCTGCGCCGTTCACACCGTTCGTGCCATTCACGCCGTTGGTAGGGGCCATCTTACGGGTATAGGTAGAGTTGGACAAGGCTGCTGCCGCAGAGAAAGTCGCCCTGGAGAGAGCTTTGAAGGATGGGGAACGCAATACGGTCGACAGGTCGGATTGAAGGATTATAACGGGGACGAGGCCAGTGACAGAAGAATTAGTCAATCAAGTCTGTAATGTGGTCACGTGACGCTTACGCGCTGTCCACACGCGCCATCGCGGTGCGCTTGTCACCCAAAACATGCTTGGAAATCGGCATGATCAAAATCTCGTCTAGCACAGCAGGATGACAATACAGGCGTACCGGAAGGTCATCGAAACGGTGAACAACGCGGGGGACGTCACGCGGATGCGCGCGCCAGCCGTGGTGCAAATCGCAGCCTGCCTATGGAACTGTCTAGGGCCGGAACCTGCACAGGCAAAGAGATTTATGCAAAATCATCAGAGTTAATGCCTCCTTGCTATTAGAATGGTCTTGACCTTTTCTCACTATGTTGCGCATTGCGCTATCTCTCAAAATGGGCTCATATAATGTCTAATGGGGATGAGAAGTCGCCGTCAACGCGCTGTATGCTTGCAGCACCTTCACTGTGCTCCTGGAGTAGACGCTCGTTTAGTGGCGGTAAAACACAAGCGGAGTATCAATTGCATTATATTACCAAAGGTGGATCATCCAGACTCAGCCCCAGTCCCTTCGGGAAAGTCGAGTGCGGCGGTTTTTGATCCCTTTGTGTTGAAATCTGCCAAAACAAAAAACCAGCACAAACGTAACGATGACCGGGACCTGTGGTTGTTTCGTTCGCTCTGCTGATTATTCTTTGGCTGATTTCGTCGGCTTCGTACCCTCAGTCACCAGAGCAAAAGCACAGCGAGCGTTGCCACCTGACGCGGCTCTACACCCTTATGGAGCTTGTGCAATCAAGGGCCTACAGCGGACAGAAATCCTGTCATACTTGCGTCCAATGATGACAGGGTAACCGTGCAAACGGGGATCAATCACGAGGACGCTCTCGAAGAAGAGAAAGGCTTAGACAGCCCGCGGCGATGGAAGCATACACGAAAGATCAGACGAAACAGCGGCACGATCATTAGCTCGCTGCCTGTGCCATCTCACAGTCAGCAGTCAGGCGCCGCACCCGGCAAGTTCTGACTCATGAGCCCGTGTCCACACCTCCCTCCTTCTCTTGCGACACCCTCCACCACACATATATCTTCGGCAGGTCATCCGCGCTGGAAGAGTACAGGGCGGTAATGCAAAGTAGCGAATTTACCCTGCTCCTTTCCCTCTGGCGTGCAAGGCTGAAGATGTCGACGGGAGCGGGAGGCTCCTGATAACTAAATACCGTTGGTGAAAGCACGGTGTCGACTGCTACTGCAGTTTCGCTTGAGCCTTACTATATCAAAAGCGGCTCGTCATTGATGAAAGCAGGAGAACAATTCTGCAAGACGTACGAGCCTCCTGATATCCGCATCAAAGTGACCCAAAATCTCTGGATGTTTGCTGTTTGCTCCTCGACAACTGTTACCTAGAGAACAGTGTCCCCACTCGCAGCGATTCGATTTGTCATCGTTCTAACAAATTGCATTGCCTCTTGCGGAAATCTGCGGCACCATTGGAGGAGGTAGCGGTTGCTGTGCCGTATTGAGGCTCATACTACCCCAGGTTATATGCCAGAAATCGAAGAAGCATCCCCAGACGGACAGGGATTGAAGATGGATGCCTTTTCTCGTGCAGGTGTGTGCTCGGAGTCCTCCGTTTCATCGATCTTGGCACTGAAATGACGAGATTCGCGTATTCAGAGCTCGAGCGCATAAATGCCGGCCTTGCCATAAAATTGAGAGACGTCGGACACGCTTTCATGTGCATGTTGTGCTTTGCAGCTGGACGCAAAGGGACTGGGAGACCTGCAATTTTGAGGAAACGCTATCGTGTGAGGGGTTACTTCACGAGAATTGGACATCAAACATCACATCAGCGCTTCGCGCTCGCGTGGCGCAGCGAGGTCCAAGAGGATGGCTGTTCGAGTACGTTCCTTGCAATTGAGTTCACACTAGCATACTGGGAGAAAGTAGTGATGTACGCGCATCCCGCGGAAGTTCCGCGCGCGATACGTCCACACATGGATCCATCCGTCCTTCACCGCCAGGTTCGTTTTTGTGACGCTCGCCTGTGGTCCATTTACGTCCGTAACCGATGTCGTTACAGAGCTCGACCACGACGAGCCACTTCTCCGCGCAGACACTGACTTGGTCAATGAGAGGATAAAGGGCAGGTTAGTTAGCTGGGCAATGGGTCCAACCGGAGTAGTCTGGGGCGTTAGCGAAATGGTTGATGATAAATATGTAAAACAGGAGACAATCCTTCCTCCTGCTGGTGGCTTACCATCGGTTCGTGCTGCAGCCAAATTGGCATCGTTTTCCGCGACTTATTCGCCTCTGTAGAATTTGCGGGTTGAGACGTTACCACATAATTATGTTGCATTCATCGCACCTTCATTGCACGGTATCCGTGAACTCGGGTTCCTCGGCTATCTCAGCCTTCTGACCTTCTAGTCCTCAAATGAGAAAAAGTGCTTGCGAGGAGAGATGTGGATAGCGAGCATTGTTGGCCGGTACTAGTGAGCAATCGTAGCATGAGGGTACCACGTTGAATGCAGGCTGGCCAAAGTTGTATACAGATACGATCGTCGATGCTGTGTGCACTCCGGACGTTGTGGGTCAGCATCGAGACAAGTACTCAGCCAACGACCCCGCAAACGCCAGTCGCAAGCGAGTCGTCTGCAGCACATCAACACGCCCATCCCACATCACTCGACGGCCGCCGTTACGCTCTTTCGCGTCTTTCGCTATCCATCTGCCAATACCTCTATGTCTTCGTTGAATACAGGATTCCATGGCCCTCGTTCACCTCGACTTCCATCCCCGCATGTACCTGCATGCAAGCTGATCGGGACCAGTGGCCGATGGTTCTCAAGGATGCCTACTCCGCGGTTCGACGTTGAGTCGTCGCGCATCTCCCGTTCAACCGCTCCTTGTCATGTCAGCGAAGATACGAAAATCTCGACAGGCAAGCCCAAGTCTTCGTACCATACAGCAGACACTTTGACAGGCAGCCATGCCAGTGCCTACTAGTCGGGAATCTGAATGCCTCTCGGCATTATACTACTCGCACATGCACCACACGTACAGCCTCATATACGCGAACTACGGTAAGCGGACCCGAACAACAGAGAACTATGAGTTCCCCACGTGGTAGTCGGCCGACGTCGTAGGTCCTGCCTATCCAAAGGAGAACTTCCTGGAGGTCACTGGTATGGTAGTCTCCTCGCCTATGTAGTAGGCTTTACGTTGCCGGTCACCTTGCAGTCGTCCTTGCACGACATTGGACATTGACTCATTGCTTGACGATCGGACATGCGCCTGTGTCTGTATCAGTAGGTTTAGTGCACTATCACAGCGCATGAGACGTCTGCCGAAATGTTCCTCAAACAGGATATAGATAGTTATATATGATGCGGTGAGCAACAGACGCGAGTCTAGTATGCTCGATAGCTCATCACACTATGTTTCTTTGCATCTCGCGGATCAACTCGACTTCAAGGCACAGAACTCAACAGGTAAACGGGCGTCATTTAACTGCGAACTCTGTCTTTCTATAGAGGCCTGCTGCTTGTCGCGATAAGCATTGTGCCGTAATACGTCGCCCTTATCTATGGAAGGAAGATATCTTCTTCACTGCAAATCCTTGCCGAGTCGATCTAACATACTGCTGAGACCTACCCTTGCCACGACCGCGTCGCCCAGCTTGCAGCTCAGGGGAATGCTCTTCTCCGTCACGTTTGCATTCGTCAAGACCAACCGAGGCAAGTTCGCAGTGTCTTCTCTGCAGCGTCGTTCCGGCCCAATCGGAGAGAACCTTCATTAGGACATGCCCTTGAGAAGTTCTTGTCTCCCTCCTCGGTCGCACAGTATGTCATCCCGACAATGAGTGCTCTCGTGACTTGATGCCGCTTATCGCCTTCACTGAGCTTCTGGTGGACCTTCAAATCGCGTGCCTAACACATTGTGGTATCTTGTATATGCAGCACTTGGAGATACCCCGTACAATGTTCCATCCAGCCGCAACGTTTCTCGTTCATAATGTCTGAAAGCAAAAAGAACGCAGAAGCATACGTCTATCCGCATGGCGAACGGGACGCAATCCTGATGGGGTCAGAGAAAGCAGTGCCGATTACGATAGGTGCAGACGACGTACAGCTGGCAGAACTCGGCTACAAGAGCGAATTCAAACGAGAGTTCTCGGTTCGGACTCTAGCATCCTGTGGCGGCACGAAACCCGACTGAATGTCTTGTCAGCTTCTAGAAACGATAGCGTTCTCGTTTTCGATTATGGCAGTTATCACGGGAATGTCATCGACACTGTCTCTTTCTCTCCCGTCGGGTGCGTTCCGTTCTATTCCTGATCACCCGCTGCGACATGAAGTTGACAGTAGTATGGCAATTTCACAGGCGGCCATGTTGGTCTGATATGGGGATGGATTATTCCTGTTCCCTTTGTAATGTGCGTCGCAGCAGTAATGGCTGAGATGACATCTTCTATGCCGTGAGCATCTCGTTCTTTCGCTCATTCGGCAGTCTTCTGAAGCCTTTTCAGAACGAGCGCGGGCCTGTATTACTTCTCTGCAAAGCTGGCGCCACCTGAGTACTCGGCGCTCGCCAGCTGGATAACTGGATGGTCAAACATAATGGGTCAAGTCACATTGTTGTGTGGCATAGACTTCACCTGGTAAGTCAAGGTGTGGGATCAGAACGTTTGCATTGTCGCGATAACGTGTCACCCCGCAGCGCAGAGATGATCACGACTGCTATCGCTGTTGGGACCGACGGTCGTGTGACACCCGGTACAGGACCCACCTATGGGATCCTACTCGCTATACTCTTTCTCCACGGTTTGCTATGTTCTGCGGCGACTAGGGTTCTCGCGCGCATGAATTTATTCTACAGTTTCGTGATTCGTGAGCGTTGTCCTATCTGGTTCGCATTCGGCAGTTCATCGATCGCCTAACAGTGGGGACAACAATCGCTGCAATTATTTCGCTACTCGTCTGCTCGCGTGGGAACAGAGTGTCGGCCAAGGATGCCTTCACATTGTTCGAGAATGAGACCGGGTGGGATAATGGTAAACTAGCAGGTCTTGCCTGCTGTTTATTCGATACTGACTTGCCGACTTCTAATAGCAGGGTGGGCCTTCTTACTCGCATTTGTCGTACCGATGTGGCAATTCACTGGATGTAAGTCTATCCGTGAGATCTTAATGAGCATTTTGTTGAAATTTCCGAGACAAGATGACTCTGCGGCCCACATCTCCGAAGAGACAGCAGGAGCAGCACGTGCGGCACCCATTGCTATCATAACCTCTGTCGCGTCAGTGGGGGTTCTCGGATGGATACAGGCCATTGCGGCTTCATTTGCTATCGCGTCAGTGCATGATCTCCTCCAGACGGAACTCTCCCTGCCCATGGGCCAGCTATATCTCGATGTTGTTGGCAAGAATGGTATGCTGGCCATTTGGAGTTTGACGACGATTGCCCAGGTACGCAACGAATAACGCAATCTTATGGAATGCGCTCGACCGAATGAATTGAACCAGTTCCTATGCGGTGCGGCGCAGGGCGTGGATGCGTCGCGTGTGGTTTTCGCCTTCGCCAGAGACAACGCTCTCCCTGGGTCGCGCTGGTGGAAGAAGATAAACTATCACACGCGAACGCCAGTGAACGCTGTATGGCTTGTCATAGCGCTTTCCGCGCTATGCGGTCTACTTGGCTTCTCCTCAACTGCGCTTACATCCCTAGCTAGGTAAGACCTTTCGCATCACCAATCCGCTAGTGGTATCATTATAACACGTATAGTGCATCTGTCATCGGGCTATACACGTCGTACACGACGCCTATCTTCTTGCGGGTCACATCCGGACGAGAGAGACTCGTTCCTGGTCCTTTCTCTCTCGGATGGTGGTACATTCCAATCGGCTGGATTGCAGTAGCATGGGTCGTCTTCATAGTAATCTTGCTGTGTTTTCCAACAGTGCAAGCGGTGAATGCACAGGATATGAGTGAGTGGCACGTCCTTCTCGTAACTTGCCAAGGCCGGCGCTGACGCGTTACGTGAACCTGCAGATTATGCCGTGATCATCGCTATGACGGTGTTCATTTTCGCATCCTGCTCTTGGATGCTGTCCGCCAGGAAGTGGTTCGTGGGCCCGGTCCCAAACGTCGATGACAGGAGTAGTACCGTTACCTCAACGTCTGACAAATCTTGATGGGTTGTATTGTTTCGCATTAATTGTAGACACTCGGAGGTATCCCTCCGACAGTAGAATGCGCGCTCGGCGTTTGGGTGATCGTTTCCCGCATCCCTATAGCAATCATAGTCACGGTACAGATCAGCTGCTGTTGCTTCCATCGTGCATTTCTGGTCACCCCACCTAAACGTGATCATTCTTTGGCATCGGCCTTGGTAGCAGACATCACCACCAGTGCTTCATCCGGATCTTCTGACGCCACGAGTGCTATGGGGACGCTGAACTCTGCTATCAATTCCAGCTTGTAAAACAGTCAATTGGGTGATGTTCATGCCTCTCTGACAATCTCCGACGTCGTTATTATGTACAAAATACATACAGCAACGTGGTACATAGTTCGAGCGAGAGATATACTAGTAGCCGGTTCAAACGTGGGGGATGGCGCCCACGCCGGCTGTACATGCAATTGGTGAAATCCGCATGACGGATCTCGGGGACTTCATCTGGCGCAACGCCTGGACCATCTATTACGATTTAGAGTCGCTAATTCATGCTGTTTGACGTATAAATTGCTGGAGTTCACGTTCGATCCGAGTACCCTCATCTTCTTTCTCTTCAAACTCCAACCACCATCTCATTCCAGCCATGGTCAGCTCGTCGACGCCGGAGAGCGGGGATTCGACACCGTCCTCTCTCTCGGACACGTCTCATCTTCATGTCCCTGGACAGCATGCCAACGTGTATGGCTTCCATCGCATTGAAAATGTACCCGGTTACAATACACCTGAGTTCAAGGGCAAGGAGGAGCAGCGAGCAAAGGTTCAGGCCAGCCTTCTCGCGAAGGTGAGTGGTGTTAGCTCGGTGATGGTGACGGGACGCGTTCATTGACTTGCTCTACAGGGCTTCATCCCTCGTGAACTCGTCGCAAACGAGGTGAACTGGTTCTATTCTCGCCTCAGCATCGACGACACGTACTTCCAGTCCGAGTCCGTCGATGTCATCACAGACCACATTATCGCGCTCTTCGGCGCGAAGATGCTCGCATACACGAAGCACGACCCGTCCAAGCTCGTCATCGACCTCGAGAACATCACTACCGACGGCGCGACGTTCATTCATACGAGCGTGCCTGGGCGGACGGCAACCGAAGGCCCAGGCGCGACATGCGAGAGCCGCATCGACGAGCTGTTTCTCGACCAGAGCACGCCCTCGCGCGCCTTCAGGCTCGAGACATATCGTTCGCAGGGGGGTATCTCTGCCACTGCTTCTCAGCAGCTGCGATGCTACTTCGTGACGAAATGCAACTTTCCAAAGAATCCGCCAGCATCGACGCGTTCGGATGGGTACGTGTCTATCGCGTATTGAGAATGGCCGATGCTCATACGCGACTTTTATGCAGCAAGGTAGAGATCCGCTCAGTATCAGATCCCGTCTTTCTTGAGAAGGCGAGCGCGAACACGCTCGAGATCTATCAGCGCATCATGTGGAATGTCCTAGAGCGCTACGGGCCCGTGATAGAGGTATTCGAGGTTGAAGGTAGCAGGGAGCGCAGGCTCGTAATCGGCCACAAGATGAGCGGCACGAGCAAGTACTTCAGTGCACTGTCGAACTTGTACCACTACTATTCACTCTACTCCGCCCGGAAGTATGTTGGTACGTGGCTCGGCTTATTGTGCGTTTCTTACGTCTTGATGCTTGACATAGAGCAATTCTCGAACGGTGTCACCATCATTTCGCTTTACCTGAATCCCCTTCCGAACACCGATGCACCTCCGATTGAGCACTCCATTTTCCAGGTCATGAAGGAAGCGTCACTGATCTACTGCTTGCCCGATAACCCCTTCTTCTACAAAGGAGCGGGTCCCACAGGTGGCCATGCTGTACAGGAGGCGACATACGCGTGTACGTTGTCACAGAGCGAGGACCGCAACACCAACTGAAATCAATCAAATGTTTTAAATAGATTGCTGCTGGGTCTTTGCGCAGCATTTCTGTAATCGCCTGGGGCCAGCGTACCTGGCACTACGGAATATCCTGGACGAATCGAACCCCTCGCACGCCGAAGTGCTTAATGACATCAAGCGGCGTTTCAGGGAGGAGACGTTCACGCGAGAGAGTATCGCGCAAGTCATACACGCTCATGCAGACTTGGTGAGTTTGAAGATGCACATTCGGGACTTTGGCCAACCATTGCGTCTAGATCAATCTGCTGTATGTCAACTTTGCAATGGTCCACTACCCGCCTGCAGACCAGGCGACGTTGATGTACGTAGCATGTCCCTTGTCCGACTACTCATTCACTGACATTTCGTAGGCCCACGCTGTCGTACCAGCGTTTGCAAAACCAGCAGCCTCTGACAGACCAGGAGCTGTATGACAAGCTCAGGAAGACCGTACACGACAAGCACGAGTTGCAAGTGCTTGAGAGCTTCCTCATATTTAACAAGCACGTTCTCGGGTTATCTCTGTGATTATGCCGCAAGTGAGCTAATCAACGAGACAGGCATGTCCTCAAGACGAACTTCTACCAGCCGACAAAGACAGCGCTGTCGTTCCGCCTGGCCCCAGACTTCCTGCCAGAGGTTGAGTACCCGAAAAAGCCGTTCGGAATGTTCTTCGTGATTGGTGAGAGCCGACCAGTTTGCTTTCTTGATGTGTCGCTCACGTTTACGGTAATGCGAAGGTGGCGAGTTCCGCGGGTTCCACATTCGGTTCAGGGATGTCGCTCGTGGAGGCATCCGAATCGTCCGATCGAGGAACCGAGAGTACGTGCATCCACCACCCGAGTGACTTGGCAACCTGACGGCCTACTGTATGTGATAGGACCTACTCGATTAACCAGCGCATGCTGTACGTGCATTCCGCGTGTCCATATGAAGCATAACTTGACGGCTATGGTTCGCCGTGTAGGTTCGACGAGAACTACGGCCTCGCTTCGACACAGAACCTGAAGAACAAGGATATTCCGGAGGGAGGTGCGAAGGGAACTATTCTGCCTTTGTGAGTGTCGAGAACATTCCATACTTTGACGTTGTCGGTTGACTATGTTGCAGGCTCGGGTCGAACCCTCGGCTGTGCTTCGAGAAATATGTCGACGTGAGTCGCGTTATTTGTATAGTGTAAGATGTAAGATGACTGAGGTTGCTACAGGCTGTCATCGATCTCTTGATTCCTGGTCAGAGCCCGGGGATCAAGGAGAAGATTGTCGACCTCTACGGAAAGCCAGAGATGCTGTTCTTTGGTCCAGATGGTACGTTGTGTACTTCATATTTTCCCGCTTTACATTCATCATAAACAACGCCAGAGGGAACCGCTGATTTGATGGATTGGGCTGCTCGTGAGTCGCGCTTCCTATAATTAGGAAAGATACTCAGCTACACTGAACGTCTTGCAGTGCACGCTCGTGCTCGTGGCGCGGAGACGTGGTGGAAGTCGTTCACTACTGGAAAGAGCGCCGAGACACTCGGTGGTATTCCTCACGATGTCTTCGGCATGACGTCGCTCTCGATCCGACAGTACGTGTTGGGCATCTACAAGCAGCTCGGCTTGAGAGAGAAGGATATCACAAAGGTGCAAACTGGAGGACCCGGTGAGTCTTGCGATTCCAGCACCGTTAGTTTTGACCAACAATTCTGGTAGACGGAGATCTCGGGTCAAGTGAGTTTTCGACCTGTGATAAGTTGAAGATGGGCACTGATGGATTCATCCTTCATAGACGAAATTCTGCTCAGCTCGGATAAGACGATCGCCATCATCGACGGCAGTGGCGTCCTCGCCGATCCGGCAGGTATCGATCGCGAGGAGCTCGTCCGTCTGGCTAAGCTTCGCGTGACGATCTCGAACTTCGATCGGTCGAAGCTCAGCAAGGATGGATATATCGTTCTGGTGGAGGAGCAGGATGTGAAGCTACCTTGTATGTCCATCCTTCTATGCTGACCAAATGGTAATACTAACCGGTACGTCTAGCGGGTGAGGTTGTCCTCGATGGAACAGATTTCCGTAACTCTGCGCATCTGCGTTTCAGGGCTGATCTCTTCGTGCCATGTGGTGGTCGGTATGTTCACCCTTCATTCTAATTACTAAGATGTCCCGCTGACTTGTCGTGTAGCCCTGAGGCTGTAAATATTTCTAATGTTGCAACTCTCGTTGATGCCGATGGAAAGCCGAACTTCAAGTACATTGTCGAGGGTGCCAACCTCTTCCTCACCCAGCAAGCTCGTATCTATCTTGAGAAGCGCAAAGTGATTCTTTTCAAGGACTCCAGCGCCAACAAAGGTAACATGCGTTCTCCCTTTGATATTGGTCTAAGGCTCACGGACGTTGTGCTTAGGTGGCGTAACAAGTTCGTCCTTGGAAGTGCTTGCAGGCCTTGCGCTGTCAACTCAAGAATACATCGACCTGATGATCTTCAAGAACGGCAAGCCATCCGAATTCTACCAGAGCTACGTTCGCGATATCCAGCAGAAGATCACCGAGAACGCTGCTGCCGAATTCCACTGCATCTGGCGCGAGCATGCCCGTGCACAGGGTGCGAAGCCACGCACGATCATCTCGGATGAGCTGTCGGGCACATTGAACAACCTGCAAGCCGAGCTGGAAAGCTCGGACCTATATGAAGATGCGAAGATGCGGAAGAACGTCATGAATCACGCGATTCCGAAGACCTTGGTTGAGCAGATCGGGTTGGACATTCTATTGGAGAGGCTGCCGGAGTCGTACCAGCGTGCGCTCTTCTCGAGCTGGGTGGCGTCACATTTCGTAGGTGGTGGTTTGTCTTTGACGTATGCCGTCGTGTTGATTGCGACTTGTCGTCAGATCTACAAGTATGGCGTGAATGGGTCATCCGTAGACTTCTTCCACTTTGTTCGGGACCTCGGTGTGTAGAAGGGCATTGGTTGCCGTTCACTGGGTTTGATGTTCCAGCATTTGCGTTGCAATGGACGTTGTAATATGGGTGATGAGAAACGGCAAGGGAGATTGATTGTACAATAGACCATAGTAGAACGTTCAAGGAGAACCTAATGCTATGCAATAGTCAGCTTGGTATCATACATCCCACGCTGACATTGAAGTCCGTAAATGAAATGAGCTTTCGGACCTCAGTTTCATTTGCCACCGCAGACATGAAGCGATTTGTGCGCGTGGCAAATGCTTAGCAAATGTGGACAGGTTTTTTGCCTTTGCGATGTCGATTTGCTATGGTTCCTTCCCACGTTCCACATTAAGTATTTGCATATAATATTGTAAACGTGAAAATTTAAAATTGTTTATTTAGAAAACATTTTTAAACTCACAAGGTACATTTAAAATTTGATCGCTGGGTATCAAATACCCATTAGCAAACGAAGGTTCTTTGAAACCTCTCAGCTCTCCGAGATCAGTGCCACTAGATATTGCACCATAGTAACACCTTCATTTGCTGCTGGGCACATGATGGTTTTGAATTCAAAAAATGTGTGATTACATTTGCCAGCGATCAAATTTTAAATGTATCTTGCGAGTTTAAAAACGTTTTCTAAATATACAATTTTAAATCTGCAACCTTTACAATATTATATGCAGATACTTAATGTGGAACGTGGGAAGGAACCATAGCAAATCGACATCGCAAAGGCAAAAAACCTGTCCACATTTGCTAAGCATTTGCCACGTGCGCAAATCGCTTCATGTCTGCGGTGATTACAGCATGTGACCGTGTCGCGTTGATTGCCATTTACGGCGTACATCATGCACTCCTCATGCACTTGAGTTCAATCGGCGTTGATCCTTACTTGACTGTCTCTAGTTGCACATTAACACGGACGATATGCAGGATCTACCCTCAGCGACCTTAGGTCCACAGGCTGTGGTTCGAGACAGTACCTACTATCTTGCTGACGGGGACTGTACCCTCAGAGTGGAGAACACGCTCTTCAAGGTAAGGATTGGCAATGCCTCTTAGCGTCTCACGCTAAGCCCATCAGGTCCATCGCACCGTTCTCTCGGAGGATTCATCGGTGTTTGTCGGGATGTTTGAGCTTCCGTCAGAGGAAGACGCCGATATGGACGGCTCATCTGACGACCATCCAGTCGTCCTGATAGGCGACACTGTCGCAGAATTTGAGCAATTTCTGTGGCTGCTGTATTCTCGGTAAGCTCCACTGTCTGGCTATTATCGTCTGTATCAACCAGCAATCGAATAGGAGTCGTCAAAAATATCTCACTGTTCCTGAAGACCGTGCTATCTATCTGGAACCTCTCCTCGATGCCGCACGTTTGGCGAACAAATACTCCTTCACGGAAGCCCTGACGTGGGCTTTGGACATGATCACGGATTGCATTACGCTGCCGCTATACCGGCTCGACGACATCTTTTCCGCCAAATTGTACGAATACGACGCCGCGCGGGATCGCGTGGAAATGACGCACGCGGCGCATCAGATCAGAGAGATTGTGGTTCTGGCGCAAGAAAATGGCTTCGCGCCGCTGTTCGAAATCATGAGGCAGCACATAGAGGGACACCGGCCGCCGTTCGTGTTCCTATGTGCTGAGCTTGCGGATGAGCTGGATCTCCGCGACCTACGTGGCGAGGCGTATTTGGCCCTCCTGCGGATGGGCGCGCCGTTCTCGGTCTGCGCGGCTCGGCGGAAAGTGGATGCATACGAACAGGAGGAGCGGTGCCTTAGGGAGGCGTTGACGTCTGCTAAGCCCATGCGCGGATATTACTGCCTTGCCAGCGAATGGGACGAACTCTGGCATGAGCCTCCAGAAACCGCGCACTGCGCTCGCTGTTCGTCTTCCCTGCATGTTGCCGATCTCCCCGGACGATTGAGCGCCGTTTTCAGAGAGCTAGAGGACGGTGTTACCTGGAGCAGAGCCATGCCTTTGGATTGCAAGGCTGCAGTACTCGAGACTACGAAGGTGCTGCAGATGACCGTCGCTCGTGACCTGGACGACGTGGTTCGCTGACGATGTTGATCACATTGGTTTATGAACTGGTCATCGTGCAGGAGGACAACGATGCCCCTCCATCTACTTCCGTATCTCGACAGAACATAACAAATTGTACCCACCGACCAAGACGAGCCCTATGGCCCTTTATGCCATTCTGTACATTACAGCACGATGTCACGAGGACTGCGAGAAGACAGCGAACTTGTTCAAGGCGGCTCGCGTGAAGGCCATAGGCAAGCGTCGGTCACTGGGCGTGGCTCGGTGTACGGCGTACCGAACGGTTAAATCTGATCTTTCTTTGTGGCCGCCACATGTATGTGCTCAGGTAATGTCCTGCTACATGTTTACATGAGGCAGTGTTATCCTTCGTTGGATTCGACTTGTTGGCATATATAGACGAGCCTTGTCGGTAAATGCTCCCACCGCAGCCTCCGAAGTGAAAACAAAATGTCCGTGGATAGGTATAGAGCCTCCCTCGATGTAAAGTATGCGACACATCGTCCCGTTGTCCGTTCAGTTGTTCGATCATCTGAACCTTGCGTGAGAGATCCGCTAGGACTGCTTTGCGCTTGCTTTCTTCTCCGCCTTTGCTTTCTCTTTCTCTGTCTTCTCTTTCTCTGCCTTCTCGCGCTCCTTCTCTGCTTCCGCCTTTGCAAGCTCGTGCGCAGTATTGTTCAGACCAAGCCTATTGCGTGCAATCTGAGTAACCCAATCAGTCCATGGACGCGGGTTTTCGCGAGAGAAACTCACTTCGATCGCATAGAACTACCCAGATCAAATAGCCTATGATAAATGATGCAGCGCGCATATAAAGACTCTCAGACAAACCTGTATTCTCGTCACTGAAATCAAGGGTGCAAAGTCAACTCGAGGACCGATGAAGAAAGCCCGCAAGGCGTACCGAATATAGTGCTCTTTTCGCCGTACTCTTCTCTCGCATCCGTGCGTATCAGAGACCCAAAGTTGTAGTCCTTCACTTTCTTCTCGTATCTAACCTCACGCATTCGATGAGAACCCGGGACCTGTTCGTCTCGCCGACGACGCGCCAAGTAACAGTAAGACGCACTGCTGAATGAACTGTCGCCACCGCTCCTTGCCTTCCGGACTCTTCATCCACTCCTCGTCGAGCTTGACGAGCTTCGCGTAGTTGTCTTCGGCCAGCTCGGGAAAGTCCTTCATGGTGTGCTCGAAGATCTCGTCATCAAGTCTGAAACTATCAGCGCAAGTCTTCTACACGTACGGCATTAAGACCTTTACTTTGTTAAACGAAGCTCCTTTGGTGGGACCTTCTCAAGGAGGTTCCAGTATGTCTGCGAGAAACGCGATGTCATCAGTTCACGAAGGTCTGGTCAAAATATGGCTGAATGCACCTGAGCGTGCTCCACAGCTTTCACAGCAAATCTACTTGAGTGTGTTAAGTTCCCGAATGCCAACTCCGTTCGGCGACTGACTGTTTCTCGATCTGAGACATGCGGCGTGTTACTGTACACATTCACCCAAGAACATAGCATTGCTCACACACCTCAACCAAGTTTTGGGCATTGTTCGGATCAAATTTAGTCGACATCATGCAATCCAGTGAATGTGAAGCGGTTTGTGGTATAAAGAACGTGCACCTCTGAGGTAGAGAGCGTCCGGGAAACAACCGTTTCACTATACGCGCGCTATCGTGTCCATGCGGTCATGTGGTCTCCGGGTGGCGAGAAGCGCATGAGTAGTAGAGTCTCTCTGTTTGTCCTGCTCAGTGAATGGGTCGAGAATTTCTGGGACACTCTCAGTGTTTTCATACATTTAGGTTCATGACTGCGTGCCATTTGGCGACTCGCAACAGCATGGGCAAACAAAAGGTTGGCAACTCCATTCGACAACTGAGCCAGCGGACGAGATTGCAAAGTGAAAAGCTACAAGTATCGTATCTCCTCGGGCGGGTAATCTGCAGAATAATTACTACTCTCTCGGATAACGATAATCAACGACAGGACTATACAGCCGTAACATGGTCTGAACTATTTATATGCTCGTCTACGTTTCACAAAAGTTCACGTCGTATCATGTCCGACAGTGCCATAGGAAACACTGTCTGACATCCAGTCTTCAACAGGTATCGAGCGGCCGGCGAATTCGACACTGCCGAGCAGCTCCACCCCCAACGTCGTCCCTTCAGTTCCATGCGAACGATGACTGAACCGTCGCAAGTTGAGCAAGATATAGGGTCCCTGGAAATGGATGGTCAAAATACGATGCTCATGCGAGACGCTAACGTGACTTACCGCGATGGACATTATAGCAAACTCCCAGCTGGGCGATCAAACAGATTCAATCGAGATTGCACTGCGGCACGGAAGACGAGCTCACCAAAAGCAAAGCCCCGCAAGGGAACCATCTATGAGATGATAGCACAGCGTGTTAAGTAGCATGATAGCTACGCAGGAGATGTGTTAGAAAACTGCCACCGATTGTACGATCAAGAGGTACGAACCAAAGATGTCAGCGTATGCCCACATCCCGTCTCGGACTAGAATGTACAACACGGAGCTTCCCGACAGGCCTCGCCGCATATCAGAGAAAAAGCTGATCAAGGTCATGGCGAAGAGGAAGGTCTCGAACGCGAGAGACCACAGCCTTTTCGCCAACTTAGCTTGGTTCAACCAACTCAGAAGTGACGATCGACGCACCAGTAGGACGTGAAGATACCGGGTGTGTGTGTGATCAGGCATGTCGGGCTGAACTGGATTTTGGGTATGCTGAAAGCGAGAAAGGTGATCATGGCGGCGACTTCCGTGGCGAAAAGCGCGATGACGAGGCCGACAACGGGCTTGTTGCGTTTAAACATGGCGCAGACTACAATCGACGCAGGCCATCAGCGAGCATCAGCTTCAGAGAAAATCATGGACGCACCTCGTGCGATCAGGATAACCTCGACAGCTACAGTTAGCGCTTCATTTGCGATGAATTGGTATATGATGAACCCTCGACATTGGTTCGAGTGCAGCCGACTGCCACCGCTTGCTCCAGGGAGAAAAACGTTGATTGTTCTATCAGAGGTAAATCAGCGTCCGAAGTTGCATCGCGAGGGCCTAAGGCTCGGAAAACGGGGGCACGTACATGGGAACAACATACGGAAAGTGCCTGATGAATGCATATATCCACTTCATCCATGAGTGCGATGCCCTGTGCAATAATCAATGAGTGATCGATCATGTAGAGCATTCATAAACTCACCTCCAGATGTACTCGATCTGCAGGATACATCTCAAGAGCGTAAAGGTAATCAAACTTATCATGCTCACCTCATCGCCGAGATGAATGAGCATATCATAAACGAGGCAGCAAGTGGCGGTGACATTGAGGTACTTGATCACTGCAATGAGATATGAGATGTGAACTGAGACTAGTTCGCAGCGCAGTCGGAACCTCACCCGTGATACCTGCGTACTCCGAGACTATTTCCGAAGTGAGCATGGAACCGTTTTCCGGGTAGTAATTGAGGCGAAGACAGTGCCAGCCGGTACCTCGCAGTAATCAAGTGAGTAGAAGTCGTCATCCAGCGCTCCCCAGCGCTCGCTCTACAAGCTTTATAACATAGCATTTTCCCTAGCGACTGCATGTCGGCCACAAGCTGACAAGCGGAAAGACAGTGATCGGAAACAAGCAACTGCTTCAGAATTTGTTCTCAACGAGCTTCTTCAGAACGTTAGAAGACTGATCATCCACACAGACGTGATCGGCGTAGTACCAGACAGTATCAATCATCTGCGAAGAGCTGCTTCCCTGTTAAGATTGTACAACATCAGTTTCGGCGCTGAGGGCTACGAAACAGACAGCCGGGCGCTAGTGGGCGAGTTAGGAAGAGCAGACAAGACGAACAGTCGCTTGAGGTACAAAGAGAACGTCATCCAAAGTAAGATGGCTGCCTCGTCCGATATAGAGTTCGATGCGCCCAATGTCATGAGCATATGCCATGCTGATCGGTCGCAATCGTGGAAGTCGTCATGGCAGGGCGTAAGATGAGTCGGTGCGCCAGAGTCAAACACAAATGGCACAGAGCCTGTAGTCGAGGCGTGACCTGAGGGAAGGCTAGCAGAGGCGATGCTACTAGAAGACAGAGGGGTCAAGCTCAGTCTGCGGGCGGGAAGACCAGTCGAGGGAGACGGTGTCCTCAGGCAGGATAGGACAAGGACCTCATACTCCAGGCCACCCGCAGCAGTCGTGACAGATGCAAGAGATGTCACGGCAGAAGCCGACCGCTGACATGTGACACCCCATCCAAATTAATGGCCAGAAAATGGGCCAAAGACATGAAAGGCTAGAACATTTAACTCAATTTTAACGCCTTTCCTGGAATGAGAATCCGTACTTTCTTTGTGGTGATGGTGAATCTTCCTTTGACATTTGGACATACAATCTTAAAGTCTTTTTTCTACACCGTTACCATCTGTTGCTGCGAAAGATTGGATCTTGCACGTAGTGATCATGCCCTGCCTCTGTTGAAGCTCCATCCGAAAAACAACAATGAGAGGATAAGCCAAATTATGCGAAGGAAGCGTCCAAGTGCCGGGGCGCGCGATGTCACTGATACTGGTAAGTGAGACGTGAGCGCATGCGACAAAATGGCGAGCTTAGGTGGCCCGGTCGCGCCAGCGGCATCGATTGCCTCGATCTCTTCCTCCGTCAATGGAGCTATTGGAAGGTGCCAGCCGACGTGGTCAGCAATTGACCCGTTAGCTTGATAGAAAGAAAGGGGGTGAGACTCACGGAGGTCTCCGACGGCGATATATTCTCGCATGTGTTCAGGGTTCGAGCTAGTCCTGGAAATTTGTTTCCGTGAGAATGGCGATGCACGATGTATTGAGTTCGACGACAGCATGACGTACGTCACAATCACGACGCCCTTGCTCCGCACCCACGAGAGGATTACCTGCGTAGGCGTGGCGCCTAGCCTATCGGCGGCAGCTTGGACAGGCTTGTCGACGGGACCGCCGGGGTATATCGTGATAGGTCTGCGTAGTTGGTATACATGAGGTAGCTGAGGGACGAACAGAGTCACATGCCGTGCAAACTTACGTGAGGCTGCCGTATGCTTCCACGACCACACCGTGCGAGGCGCAGTAGCTGAGCAACTCCTTGTTCTGGGAGTAATTATAGGGATGGAACAAGATCTACGAACGGAATGTGAGCAATTTGTATATTCAACGTGATAGAGTGGGCATTTTTACCTGATTAGCGACAGGCTTGAATTTGGCTATCTTCATGAGCTGCTGCAGTTGTCCCAGCTTAAAATTGCTAACACCGATGCTCCTGCGAATCTGTTGGTTGGCTCTGTGCACACCGAATATTTCCGTCGAAGGGTAAAGTGCTAACTTCACGAGACCATCCTCCTTGGCACGCTCAAATTCCCGCCAGTCCTTCTCCATATCGTGGATGAAGACAGGGCTGTGAACGAGATAGAGGTCGATCTGCTTTAGCTCAAGCTGTGTTCGAAGCACCGTTCTGTTATGCCATTAAGCAGTTTGCGATAAGTATGAACACCGACCTTTGACAGACTCGCCTCGAGCGATTCACGTACACCAGCTTGTCCAGACCACTTCGTCGTGACAAAGAATTCCGAGCGCGTAAGGCCACTCTGCCGAATTGCAGCAGCGACACTTTCCTCATTGGCATAATCTGTTGATAGCAAGTAAGGATGCGACTTGTAACGACCACTATTTCACTGTCCACGTACATTGCGCAGTATCAATGTGCGAGAAGCCGGCTTCTATCGCCTCCAAGACGTAGTCGGTAACGTCCTAGAATGCAGAGTCACGTCAGACTGCGCCGTAGATACACATAGACGTGAGCTGCCGCTTACGTGGCCTTTCCACTTGGATCCGGTACCGAACGCAATGGTGGGCATCTGGTTTGAGAGCGCGAGCAGTCATGACATTCATGTTAGCGCCCAACTTGAGTCGACAAGTCAAGGACGGACTTGGTTTCCATCGCTGAGGAGCACCTTTCCAAATGGCATGGCTGGTGAAAGAGTCGGTGTGCGACCAGATAGTCTGTCACAGGCAGCAGCTAGGCTCACGCCCGCTCTATGTCACGACTCACAGATCTGAATCTCCGCGATCAACCCCGACGTGAGACGAGCGTCACGATAGGACCCCCGAAAATCCCCCCAAGAGCTTCGATCCCGCTGAGGCTCGATATGGGGTCTCGAAAACGGTCCGAAGTGGGGTGTTTTGGATCGAACCTCCTCCCAAACGGGGTCAATTTGATTTGGGATCAAACCTCCACAAAGAAATCTATCAAAATTGGATAAAATCGTACAGAAATCGGGAAAAATTGTTAAAGCAATGGTGAAAAAATCTCTGGAACACCATCGGAAGGTGGGGTCATTCGGGATCGAACCTGACACGGGAGACACGGAGGTATTTTCGAGCATGCTATACGCTGTGATAAATGCTAATTAGATAGTCAACCTTCAACCATAATAAGTGAACGTTACATGTGCCGCCACAAATCTAGAATATGATAGCCACAATGAAACTGTGGTATATGACAAACCATAGTTTGGGAGTCTCATACTTCTCGCAAAATAACAGATTGGCGGAGGTTGCCAATTATATTTCCATATTTGTGACTA